GTTCTGCACTCTCCACTCCTATATAAAAGCATGTTTGCTAAGCTTATAAGTTATAAAGTTTACTTAAGTAAATAATCATGTTTTGGTAAGCTTAATCCTAAAATAATGAACCCCCAAGCGAAACATGTTCAAAATAAGTGGCGTATAAGTAAATAAGCATGTTTGGCGGCTTAGCTTAATGCTGAAAATGAACCTCTAAGCCAAAAATGTTAAAAATAAGCGACTTTTTCTTCACACAGACAGGTTGAGATTTATGGCAATGGTTGTCCAAGATTCTTTAAAGCAACTATACGTTAAACGAAATTATTAATGCTACACAAAAAAAATTGAGTATGAAATGATCTCAATTCTTGAAATTAGAACAGCATCCAATGAATTATATATTTTATTATAATTAAAGTGTGTAAAGATCCTCACGGGTTAAAGAATATCAAATAATTGGCAAAACTTTACAATAAAGAGATGCAAAAGAGAGAAAAGAAAAGCAAACAATCATATCTGAAAAGGATCATTCTTGTGGTACATCTAGGAGTACACCAGGGTGTCGATAATGGACACTCGGCGCTCTCCTATTGGATTAGTGGGGGTCACAATGGGAGCGCGCCGGTATCCATTATGGATTCCTTGATGTACATGGTGATATCCATCAAGAAAAAATACAGCTAAAAAGGGTATAAAGCCATAAAGAGCAAAACAATTATAAGCATAAAAAATCACTCTTTTTTTTTTTTAAATTTCACCTTCCATTTTTTGTATGCGTTTTCTGATTTCTTGAGAACAAGCCTCGCAATGCATGTACACTTTCAACACCGCTGTAATCTTGGGAGGCTGTAAAAATACTTAACAAAAATAAGTTATTCAACAAAAATAAAAGAAAAAAGGTCAAAAACAATTAAATAAATAACAAACCTCCTCTTTTTTCTCTTCTTTGACCACCTCCTTTTCTTCTTTCTTGGGCTCCTCCGCCGGTGGTGGTGGTGGAATTGGAGAGATAAGCTCAACTTGACGGTGGCTCTTCCTCTGAACCCTAGCTAAAACGTTAAGCGGATCTGCGTTTTCACCTTTAACCACTACCTTACTAGTTTTACAGTCTGTTATTACATCCTCAACTCCTACGAAAAATAAAAATTATGGGTTTAAATAAAAAAACCCCATTGTACTGTACTGCCTAATCCATTGTAACAAACATGACGGCCGGGATCTGATTACCTTCGAAGCCTTTGAGGCACCGACGGACTTTTCTAGCACAGGCTTCACAATGCATGTACACTTTTAAGATTATTTCTTGCGGCGGAGGTGGAGGTGGTGGTGGTGGTGGTGGAGTCTCCGTCGCCGCCTTGGATTCTTTAGATTTCTTCTCATCCGCCTCCTTTACTTCCTCCGGTTTCTTAGCTTCCTCTGGTTTTTTCTCCTACCAAAAAAGGAAAAAAAAAACGATTAATCTAAAACCAAAAACGAAAATGGGTAGCAGAGTGATAAGATTGAGATTCGGAATTAAAACCTCTCCCATTAGATTTTTCGATGCAAAGAACACGCAGAGACACTTTTAACTGTGTGTATATTTTTTTTCCAACGGAGTTATGATTTTGTTGGAAATTGAAAAGGTGAGAGTGATGGAGTATTGAGGGGTATTTGAGATCCGAAGAGGTCCATAACAGGGTCACCATGAGTGACGTGGCACCTATGTAATGTAGGTGGCACTTGCAGGGGAGGTGTGGGACACGTGGTCATCCTGCGTTGCGTTTTGAACACGACTTTGTTCGTACTAACAACTTTTGGCACTGTAACGAAGTAATTCTTGTGTTACATGCTTTGCACCTAAGCTTGCCGAAACGAGCAATTTGATAGGGGTGGTTTCATTTTCATTTTTCACAAAGTATATTTCTCCCTTCTCTTCAACTACACATTCTTCATTAAAATTATTAAAAAATATATGATTATTTCATTTTTATTATTTATTAAGGGTAGAATATTCTTTTAAGTTTCCTTTATTTTAGATTATATATAGTCTCTTTGTATCAAAGTTTTTATTATTCAATTACATTATGCAGAATCAATAAAATCCTGACTTCTTTTTCTTTTTAGATTGTTTAACATGGTATCAGAGCTAAGTTTTATGGGATTTGACATAATCTCAAACACAGATTTCACGGATCCAACTAGAGAAGAGAAGAGACGATTTCGGGAGGCTTTTTCGTTCCGTTTCCGCGATCTGGCATTTCGTTAGGGTTTTTATTCAGTTTCTGCAATTGGTCTTTCGTTAGGGTTTTCATTCAGTTTCTGCAATCTGGTATTTCGT